CCCCACACCCCAAATATCCCTCACCCCCAGCCCCACCTCACAGCCCTCACCCCAAGCCTCTGCCCTAGCTCTGACCCCCTCTCATACCCCAAACCCCTCATCCCCAGCCCCACCACAGAGCCCTTATGCCCCCACAACCCTCATCCCCAGCCCTCATCCCCCCACGCCCCCTCACATTGTGAAATATAGGAAAACTGTTAAATGCTTACTGTATATTAAAAAATATATCTCAGCTTACAAGGCAGCAGTGGGGGAGGGGTGGGGGCAGGACTTGGACCCATTCTGGACAACACTGAAAATTATACAAACCTGCCACCCCTGCTTAGGGCAGGGGCTAGGGTGTCCCCACTCCGGGATGCTCTCTCCGCCCTGGATGCTTCCCTGACCCACTGATCATTACATACAGTTCAAAGCAAATACAATTTATTAAACAGCAACCAATTTAAAAAAAATAAGGAAAAAATGGGAAAGGTTAAAGGAAAACACATCACCCCACTCTGTGGCACGGGGACGTCACAACCAGCGTTTCTGGAATGTCAGGGAAGTTCAGTCTGTTCCTCACATGTCCCAGGCTCCTTCTCAGGCCCTGGCTGTGCTGCAGGGTGGGTCAGACACTTCCTCTGGTGGTGGCCACACACCTTCAGGCTCTAGGTGGCAGGGCCCTTCTTCCCAGCATCAGCTCTCCCTCCCCCCCATCAGGGTTATGATGCCCCTCCAAGTCTGGCCTGCACGGCCTCTTGGCTGGGGGGTGTCTCCCTGTGCTCGGTCTGTTGCCCAGGGTCCCTCTCCTCTCCCCAGTTGCTCACTGCACCCGGCCCCGGACTGCTCCAGCCCCAGCCCCAGCTCCTGCTCCACTCTGCCTCATCCCTGATGCTGCTCTGCCTCCAGCCCCCTGGGCTGCTTTTCTGGCCTCTCTGGCTCTGGTTGCTGAAGCTCTGCCCCCAGCACAGGTCTGCTCTGCAGGTTGCTTCTGCGTCTCTGCCCCCAGCTCTGACCGGCTCCCTGGACTGCTTCTGTGGCTGCCATGGCCCAGCTCAGCTCGGGCCCCTGCTCTCTCCTTAGTTCGGCCCCACTCTGTTCCAGCTCACACGGAGGATGGGATCCCTCTGGCCTCCTGCTTCCATTAACCTGCCCGCTCTGTCAATCAGGCTGACCTGGAGCATTGGCCTCTCCTCATTATTCCAGGGGACTGTCAGTCTCAGAGTCCTGATTTCCCATCAACCCTTCCCCTTTCCTTTGGTACTGGGAGCAGCCAACCAAAAAAACCCCACTGAGTTTTAGTAAGGGGCCAACAGTTCCCTTATATATGGTTATGAAAGACTCCAACACAGTTTGCACACAGCCCCACCCTTCCTTTGGCTACAAGAAAAAGTGGCACATACAATAGATGTGGACGATAAAGGGACATTTAAAACCCAGCTGTCAACCTTCATCAAGGGCTTTTTATACTAAATAATATACTGTTTCCTACATACCGGAAACAATATTGGCTCTAGGTACTATCAGCAATGACTGAGCCCCTGGATGTTGGTGCCAACTCTCCTTCACCACTCACACATTATAGATAGTCATGTTCTGGAGAGTTGGGAGTGCAGGACTGCACCTATCCATATGCAAAGGAGATTCTACTGCAGGTAACTGATGGCAGCACTGGGCTCATGCCCCTTTCATATAAAGCAAATTGGGTGATAGGTGACAATATTCATAGAGTATCAGGGTTGGAAGGAACCTCTGGAGGTCATCTAGTCCAACCCCCTGCTCAAAGGGGGACCAATCCCCAGACAGATTTTTGTCCCCAGATCCCTAAATGGCCCCCTCAAGGATTGAACTCCCAACCCTGGGTTGAGCAGGCCAATGCTCAAACCACTGAGCTATCCATCCCCCCCATTGTAACATGGAGATTCAATAGTAATTATACATCTTGAAAGGATCATAGACAAAACATCCCAGGGGACTAGGGATGTCAGAAAAGGACAGCTAGTTATGTTTTGCAAATGTGTTAACTTTCAAAGAACAACTAGAATTATTTACCAATGCCAGGGAAAAGGGCATTTCAAACGAGAGGGGCCAAGTTTGAAAGGAGATCAGATGAGATGATACAAAAGTAAATAGTCTAGTGAAAACACTGGACAAACGGTCCCTGTATGTTTCTGACCAGTTGAGTCACTTAAAACTGAAGAGGCAAAGAAAACCCATGGAAACAACATGACTCAAATATGCCAAAATATCTTTATTTTGTATCCTGCAAGAAAAACTTAAGCGAGGACAGATGCAAATGCAACAAAAATAATAAATGCAGGCAGCTGGATGATACTGCCATGATAATCAGTGAGAAAAAAAAACTGAGTTTTTATTTAAAATAGTAACTAACTGCTTAGCCCTTCACCCACAGTAACAAACAGATGATAAATGGATGAAATGTTGACACAAGTTTACATCCTTAAACTTAGAAAGAGGCCTGGAAAGTTAAGGAAGGCAAAAGTTTTTAAAAACTCTGAATTGCACAGGAGCTGAAGGAATGTACAATACCATCCTCTTTCTCAAAGGATTTAATCTATTTAGGATTTGGATTCTTCCTTCTTTAGAGATCTGCAGGCATGGAGTTGCCTGCAGAATCAATTTCACTGTAGAGAACTGAATGGATATAGTGCTTTTAACAACATTTTGGTTCAAGGCCATGGAATGAGTTCAGCATAGTTTAAATATTTTTGCAACTTCAGCTTTGTTGTTCTGTAGCCATCACATTCAATACAGTTGAGCAGAGCTTTCTGTTTGAGAGCAGATTTTTCAAAGTGCTCTAAAATCCACCAGTGTACTCAGGTTGTTTTGAAAATGACTATGCCTCATTAGGGCCAAATGGTATAGTGAGAGCTTTAATAAACTAGCCACAAAGCAGAGCCTTAAGAACTTTACCAGTGTATGAGATCAGTGCCAATAAAGGCAGAGACAGCACACAACTAAACGTAGTTTTATCTTTCCCATTAGGGTTTCACACGCTACAAATAGAATCATAGAATATCAGGGTTGGAAGGGACCTCAGGAGGTCATCTAGTCCAACCCCCTGCTCAAAGCAGGACCAATCCCCAACTAGATCATCCCAGCCAGGGCTTTGTCAAGCCTGACCTTAAAAACCTCTAAGGACAGAGATTCCACCACCTCCCTAGGTAATCCATTCCAGGGCTTCAAATCCATTTTGTCCAATTTACCAGGAAGAACACAGCAATAGCAAAACAAAAGCACTTACAGCCAGTTTCCTGAAACCTACTGATTCCTAAGTCACAGAACATTACTTCTGCCCAGTTGCCTGAATGTTACAGTTTTAAGAAGATTAATTTGAGCTCCCTTGGTCCTACATTTTTTCTTGCACCCTAATTGTACAATAGTAACAAACAAACACATATGCTAATTAGGGTTATAGTCTCATTTTGCTGTGGAGGGAGTTATGCATCCCAAACTCTGACAACTAGAAGAGGCAAGGAGTGTAATGAGATAGTGGTTGAAACTTCAAAAGGCTGACTGTCCCACCATATCGTTTATCCTTTACACCAAGGTCATGACAGGAGCACTTGCAGCTTAAACAATGAGAAGTATTATTGCTTTGGACACATATTTGAGTCAGTTGTCTTTCTTGCCATTGCACACAGTTGGGTCCTTTCTGACCCCTTCTTCTCCACTGGGGAAGGGAGACACCTTGCAAGAGAGCAAGACGTTCTTTTTTGTTGTTAAGTGCAAAATATCTGCACCTGAATCTGACAAACTGCAAAGGAATTCCTAACTCTATATAGGCAGATGCAAAATTATTTTACACACACAATTTCAGATGAAAAATACACTGGGACATTTTTATTGCACTGAAGGTTGATTGTTTGCATTGAAGGGACACCACATAGGCTGGGCCAGACCAGCATAATGTACATGTTCACAAGAAATTGCACATTTACTTTAGACTTGTAAAGAGATAATAATCCCTTATGTTTACATAGCACCTATAATCCCAAATCACCAAGTGCTTTTATAAACTCTTCAAACAGAGGTCACTCCACCCACTACAAAAATACCATTCTCACTGTATGTAACTGTCCATCCTGCACCACCAGCACTGTTCCCACACATCTGATGAAGGAGAAGTTAAGAATTATTTATTGACTGTAAATGGCAGAGACTATATGGAGGCAGAATGTATTTACCTGAGTTAGTATTTGGCAAGGACATAATTGCCAAAACCCTGTTTTGCAAAAAATGCAAAGGAATCTTTAGTGACCAAAAGTAGTCAAGGGTTTTAGATTTATAAAAATACAGGAAATTCAGTCTGGTGATATAAATATGTTGCATATGTTTATAAGAGTTTCTCAAAAAGGAATTTTAAGAGATTTTCCTTTACTCTTATTTGAAGTCGAATACCCGTTCTCACATTTTGTTTCCCACTGAAGAATTCTGAACAAGGAACATCCCATATAAAAGCAGGTCTTTATGATAGATATAAAAAAGTACATAGCCAGCTACAGGGAATTGCATATAGAGCTGCTGTCATCTTGTTTAAACTCTCTGACTGAATTTGGAAAAGAAATCTGGTTAGACCACAGAGAAAATCTACATGTTCTAGACAAAGGCAGAAAGGTTGCTGCTGCACAAAGTGGCCAGCTGTAAAGTTCCCATGCAGTGACTGGTGCCAATCTTAAAGCTGTAAGAGGACAGTAGAGGCAGAATTTTAAAAAGCTTAAAAATAGATTAAATTTTCTACCAAGTTTTAAATGCAAGTCAGAGTGATCAAGTCAGAAACCAACCCTTCTACCCAGAAACTTAACTTTATGTATAATATTCCTTAAAATCCCACCACCAACTGTAGTGACTATACCTCTTACTAATGAATATGATATTTTCCCCTTAATTCCTCCACTCTAATTTTAAAACAGACAAGACACAATCTGGAAAAAAGGTGAATTTCAGAAAATGGATTCCCTCCATTTACATTGTGAATCTGCCTCAAACCCATACACTAGTTTCCTTCTTTCTGTGCTAACTCCATAGAGCAAAAGAAAAGAGATTTGATTAACCTTAACTAACAAATCTAATCTCAAAAACAAATCATCAGGTTAGGAATTCAGCATATAACTAAAATCAATGCAGCCAAACTTCCCAGAAAAGATAGCTTTTCACTAATTTAATATGTCCTTTGACTGAAACATGTAGAACTTTGAGCACTTAGATTTTTCGTTCCCAAGACTGCACAATATTTTATAGGTTTATAGACTCAGACATCATGTCCTAGAATTTGGTATATAAACATCCTGCTCTAATCAATCACTGTCTATGGCTCTGATATACAGCAGACCTGGATGAGGAGCAGCACTTAGGCCAACAGAAGCTGAAAGTCGATGGTGATACATTTGGCCCCCAGTGCTGGAAGATCTACTATGCATATAGCATTTGACTTAAGTATCCTTAACATGAAGTGTTTGGGGTCACAGAGGAAAGTAAATACTGAAGGACAGGAGGAATTAAAAGATCCCCATGATAAAGGAACAGTGGAAAACCCATAAGTGCCCATTTCATCAAGGTTTAGTATCCGCTCAAGTAGGTAGTATTGCATAGAGCCTACTTTCCTGAGTCCTCAATGAAGGAGGTATAGAAAAGGCTACTTGCAAGAACTGAGGGGGTCGGGGACAGACTCCCATCTGAACCTGGTTCTTTCAGGACAAGATTAAAAAACAGAAGGAAGTTTGAAAATCGGAACTGGAGTATTTGTAACAAAGGTCATGTTCCACACTCAGTTCACACTGTCGTCCCAAACTGGCTCGTATCCAATTCCTGATCTTCCAGGTCATCTTCACTGAGAGAGAAGTCTTTGTGCTTTGATATCTGGTTGGTGATGCAGTTTGACTCCTGGAACTCGTCATGAACCGGAGAACTGGGATCACTTTGGGTCCCTGGAAGGGTACTTAACTGTTCCCCTTCTGCCATGTAAGACAGAAGATTGTCCAGGATGGGTCGGTTTCTGCAGATTTTAGTCAGAAGATGACTCCTGTGCTTCAGCTGTACAATTAAGTCATCTTTTTTCTGGATAACATTCAACAGCTTCTGAATTGTCTCCTCAGATGAGAGCAGCTTCTGCTGCAGAGCAGTAATTTCTCTTAGAAGAAAACAGAAGAAAAATAGTCTCAAAACAAGGCTACTAAAACGTAGCCATGCACATAACTACTGTTCCTCACTTATTTACCCTCATCCTATAAAAACCTGAAGTGTGTTTCAGTTTCAAAAAAACAGTTTATATAAAATGTTGAAGAAATGATCCCCATATCATTTCAAGCTTCCTGAATCTCTCTCATGTCCCTCTCTTTGGGTCTGCTGTTTATGTAGTTCTAACACATCACTGGCAGTGCAAATAGTGATACTTAACTAACACTTTCCATTATAAGACCTTGTTTCTTATAGTTTTGCCAAACTTTAACTTTTCAGGCTGAAATTTTCCAAGCTGGGTGTCTGCCCCTTGGACTGAATTTTTATGAAAGTTTCAACTAAAACAGTTCAGCCATTCTAGATAATGAGTTTAGGGAAAAATACATTGTTTTGCCCACATTAAAAATTCTTACAACCATTTCTTTGAGAAGCCCTGCAACAGGAATATGAAATTTGGCAAGGGAGATCAACTCATTAATACAAGAACTAGGGGTCATCAAATGAAATTAATAGGCAGCAGGTTTAAAACAAATAAAAGGAAGTTCTTCT